TGTGATACTTGGAAACAACTTCATCCATGGCCAAGGCTCCGGTAGTTGGTCCTTTTCGTTTTCGTCGAATTCTGCAAATCCAACAACGGTGACCTGGCGGCGGTCATGTTTTGGGTCGCAGCGGCAAGCTCGAAGTTTGCATCAAATCACCCTCCAAGCCCTCAAGCCCAAACACCTCCGTGCAAAAGTATGCCGAAGAATAGCATGGCTACCGGCAGCTCTGTGCCCCAAGCTGGCTTTCGCATCGCATAAGCCGTCATGAAAGCCTTGCTTGCGCAGCTTGTCCGGAGAGGACTACATACTCTTTGGGTTTGTGAGGGAAGGAAACACGCACCAACATGAAGATGAAAGGTTGACCTGTAAGCCAAGAAGCAGTGGTGAGAGCGCAATATTCCTTTCCTTGGGTGCTCTTGGATTGTGGGCAGCGTTCAAAATTCTTGTTCCTGGAAAATTGAGTTAGATGAGCTGACGCTAGTGTCGCTCAGCTTGCACGACGCCTCGTAAGTCAGAGAAAACCATACGCGTCCATAAGCACATTTTTTTGTCAACTCCGGAAGCAACGCTGGTTTTGGTGTGATTTGGAATACGGCCGCTAATCCCCCTCGCGGACTTCGAGCCTGGCTCGGTTTCTCTCGGCTCACTTGGTCATGCAGGCCCCCAGCATATCTTCCGAACACCATGAAGAGATGCTGAGCGGAATGGGCTTGAGGATATTTCGCACCTCAAGCCCTCAAGCCTTCAAGCTCTCAACACATTCTCAAAACCAAAAGGCCAAGCCCCTTCCCCCCAGCATGCGGAGTCGTAACGTGTCTTGGAAGACATGAAAGGGATTTAAATGGCCGGAGAATTAAATTAGGAGTTTTTTTTGTCTTTTTTGGGATTTTTTTCTGTTTCTGGGTTTAGGGTTGAGGGTTTAGGGTTTAGGGTGAGCGAGTGAGTGAGTGAAATGGCCCAGAGATGTTACTGCGGCCTACACCATCTTCCCCCCGCCCCCCCCCCATATCGCAGAGCAGCTCCGAAAACGTCATCGCCGCTCTCCACGAAGGGTGGCGGGTACTAAATGCAGCCAAGCATCCTTGACTAGAGGGACAGTGGCCCGAAAGGCTGGGAGTAACTACAAACTACGACAAGGGACAGAAGGCAGACCCCCTTTGTTTGCGCCGAGGAACAGGACTCGGAGTATGTGTCTACAAACGGAGCGGTGTCATGGGAGACCAGCCCTTTAACGCCGATGGACTTAAGACACTGAGAGGCCGTTGAGGAGTGCTGATTGCTTACTCCGATGGAGCAAAGGGGCCGTAGACGGCTAGTAGGGGGGTGTATATTGTCTACACAGAAGAATTGGGGCGTTGGGAGGAAGATGAGGGCTGCTGCTCGCACCTAGGGCCCTGTGAGGCCGAAGCGGTGCAGGTTGGTGACGCTGATGGGGCGAGGACAAAATTGGGCGCTGCAAGCCTATGCTGAAGGTCTAAGAGCCCAAGTAGGCCAAGATGAGGTGACTGTTTGCCTACACGAATGGACCTGCGGTTCTGGGAGGCCGAGATGGACTAGGAGCCCTGAGGAGGCCAAGTGGACCGATGGACCTGCGGCCAGGGGGTTTGGGCCAGAAGAGGCTGATTTACACTCCATCTGGCCCAAGCCCAGGTTTTCGGCACGAGAAAGGGGGTTTGGGCCAGAACTACTACATCTGGCCCAAAGCCAGGTTTTCGGCTCGAGAAAGGGGGTTTGCTTACGTGGAAGGACCTACGGCCTGGTATTTGCTTCAACTGGCCCAAACCCAGGTTTACGGCTCGAGAAAGCGGGTTTGGGACAGAAGAGCTGATTTTAGTTGCAACTGGCCCAAATGCCCAAACCCAGGTTTTTGGCTCAAGAGAAGGGGTTTGCTTTCGCGGCCTTGGGAGGCTCAGAGGTGGGGCACAGGTTGGTTAGCTGAAGATCCCGGGTTTCTGGGAGGGGAAGGGTGCTGTGAGCTTCTGCTAAGATGAGGGGCTATTTGCTTACGCACTACGACGGGGGTATTTGCTTACGCACCACGACGGGGGCGGAGAACAAACAAGCCCACAACCAGCCCATCCCGGAAGGTGCAGGGGGTACCAAACGCCTAAAAACCAGCACAACAAGTCCAGTACATGGAGACGAGAGATGGGACTTTTAAGCCACTTTCCTGTCAGCCCACAAAAGTGATGTGGCGGAGCTTAAACTGCACCTGACAGCCCTCTGTCCCAGACCCAGGAGTTCGAGGTGAGAATGGGGGTGTGGGCCTGACTTTTAGGGCCTGGATCCCCCACACCCCTGACCCCCTTTCGATGTCTGGCCCCCCAAGCGCTCACCAACTTTTACGCGGGACGCAGCAAGTCCAAGGAGTCTACGTTCACTACGGCAAATGAAGGGCCCGGACAGCACGAGAAGGGGCAACGGGTGGCCAGTCTTCAGGTACCCCTTGCGCGAGTTGCCGCAGCTCTTGCAGTAGCAGAGAGAGCTGGGCGTTTTCCTCAGAAGACAGGCGTCGCAGCAGCCAGCGTCGGACCCGCCTGGTAGGGAGAGGAGTAGAGTGCACTTGCCCGGACCCAGCGCCGGGGGTGCACGCAGCCACCATCCCACGAAGGTGAAGGAGAAGCCGGTCTGAGACAGGCGCAGCATCAGCGCGGCGAGGTGCTGCGGCCAGGCTATGGGCCCAAGTTTGCCAGCAGTCAGGGCAAAAAGGGACATTGGAGAGCGCGGAAGTGCCATACGCACGATGCGCACCGCAGTACCAACGGCAGCGCCCACGAAAGTGGACGACCACGTTGCACGAAGCACAGGACGGGCCATTCGAGCCACGGCACCAGGGGCAAGGTAGCGCAGGTCGGGCGTGCACTGGGAGACCCCACCACAGTGCCAGCAGGCCAAAGCCTGATCCTGATGCTGCACGGGAGGACAGCTTCAAGTCAACGCCAGAGCCGCCAAAGCTGCTGACCAAGAGGGCTGTTGAGCACCCCAAGAGGCCTGCCCATCGGTCAGAAAAGGGTCAGTGTCGCATCCCGCAGATGGCGGCAGGGGGCGGCCCGACGCAAGCGTTGGGTTGCGGCATGCTGTGGGAGGAGAGCCCAGCGCAGTTCTTGGATGAATGCCGTGCCAGTCGCAGACCCAAGCCAGGAGGAAAGGGAGCCTGCTGCAGCAGGAGCTGGGTTGTCTTCCACTCCGTCAGGCAAGGCTTGGGGGGGAAGCCGCGGCAAGGTGGCTTCCGCCAAAGGAAGCCACACAGAGACCCTAGCGTGGGGAGGCCTACAACAAGGTGCTGACAGCACTGAGCAGCAGGCAGGAAGGGGCGTTGCCGGCGGGCGAGACCCTGAATTTCAGATTGCAAGGCCCGACAAATCCGCAAAGAGCGAACTGCTCCAGTTCCAGGTCCTCCAAGAAGCTGGCGAGAGATGGCAGATGGCAACCCCCAGGGGGAAGACACAGCAATACGACACATGCCCTGCCGAGATTTGAGGCTCAGGTTGGTGACGCTGATGGGCTCAGGACCCTGGGGGACGGGAAGCGGGGTGCTGTACGCTTACGCTGAAGGACCACGACGAGAAAGGGGGTTTTTGGCCTGAAGAGGCTGATTTTAGCTTCAGCTGGCCCAACGTTTTCGGCTCGAGAGAAAGGGACTACGCAGATGGATCTGCGGCCCAGAAGACCGATTTGGGGCGCAGGTTGGTGACGCTGATGGGCTCGGGACTCTGGGGGACGGGAAGGGGGGTGCACGCTGACCACGAGCCCTGACCAGGCCAAGTGGGCCTGACAACTGGCCCAGACCCATGTTTTCGGCTCGAGAAAGTGGGTTTGGGCCCGAAGAGGCTGATTTTAGCCACAGCTGGCCCAACCCCAGGTTTTCGGCTCGAGAAAGGGGGTTCGCTTACTACGCAGATGGACCATTAGGGTTGAGGGTCTAGGGTTTAGGGTTTAGGTTTTAGGGTTTAGGGTTTAGGGTTTAGGGTTTGGGGTTTGGGGTTTAGGGTTTAGGGTTTAGGGTTGTAGTTGTAGTAGTTGTAGTTGTAGTTGTAGTTGTAGTAGTAGTAGTAGTAGTAGTAGCAGTAGTAGTAGTAGTACCAGTAGTAGTACCAGTAGCAAGGACAAAATACAAGAAAAAATCCCAAAACAAAACAAACAACTCCTACAAAAATAGACCTCCATTTAAATTTCCAGCCCCCAAACACAGACCAAGCTGATGCTCACGACGCTGACCCTGAGGCTGGGCTTCGATGTGGCTGGGTCCATGGACATGCTCACGATGCTAGCCCAGAGTTCGCCTTCGCACCTGCTGCTGAGGCATCTGATGCCGGAAAGGCGAGAGGAAAGGCGGCGAAGCATGAACATGCGAGCTAGCGCCATCTTGGGGGATGCACGGTTCATCTTGCGTGACGCTTCCGGACAAAGACACACAGACAAATGCTCCCCACCGGACAAAAGAAATATATCCATATGAAATTCCGAAGTTCCTTACAGAACAAGTCTTGGACGCAGTCCGTGTGGGCTCTTTCGGGCCCGGACCCATGTATTGAGACAACTCTCGTAGTTTCGTAGGGTCCAAAGGGTCAAAACGCGCAAGCGACATTGAGCCCCGGGCTTGATTTGGTTTTAGTATTGCTTGTGAAAGGACCGCGGCCTTTCGATTGTAGGCAATCAAACATTCTGCTGAATCACTTCCGGAGCTTCTGGCGTCACATATCACAAGGGCGTTTGCCTCCTCCGCAATGGGCAGGACCACTCTCTGCATGAACATTTGCAGCTGCTGCTGCCTCTCCATCAGGTCACGATTGTCGTGCTTCGGAGAATCGGCCAGATGAAAGTCGGATACAAGCAAACAAAAGACCTTGCTTCGATGGCCAAAGGAAGGCAGCACTAAAGGGAGTACTGACGGGAATAACAAACCATAACAAACCCAGCAAAAGAAAACGGCTCAAATTCAAGGCCAGATAAGATGCCATGTGCGGGGTGCGAGGGCAGAACTCATCTGCCAAGCGTGCCAGGCTGGCCGTGTTCTCTGTCATGAGTTTGGCTTGCCGATGTGTCGCACGCAACACGCGGTATTTTTCCATGCGCGTGGGGATCTCGACGGTGTGTATCATATCATACATGGTGATGGCCTTGATGTCGTCGGTGTTGGTGGCTTTGCTGTCGGCGTTGGCCGCTTGGTTCTTAGCTGACGCGCCTTTCCCTTTCTTTGGCCTTGTAGCCTTTGTCTTCGCAGACGCCTCTGGAGTGGCCATGGCTCCAGCTACTGCTCGGTCTCTTTGCATCTCTTTCGGCCCCCGCTGCGTTCCAGACTCCGTTCCGAGGGTTGGAGGCAAACTCGAATCCCAAGGACTTAAAGCATACTTAAAGCCTCGAAGGTGACGCTCCCATGACTTCTTGGGCGTTTGCCACCTTACATCCCAATAAACCTCAACAAGAAGCCTAAACCTCAATCCAAGATGATGCCTGGCACTTGAAGACGTCGCCTGAATGCCAAGCATGCCACGTTGTCAACAAAATACGAGCCTTGACTACAAACAGAAGGCAGGAATTGAGCACGGCGCCACAGCTGCCACTGTGCACTGCAAGGGCCTGGACATAAGCAGAGAGCAAGGTACTTCTTTCATTGACTCTTTCGAGGTTCATCAGCACAAGAATATTTGGCCCAGCACAGTATCAACAGCCGCGCGTGCTGCTCTGTCTTCAGTTTTCAAAGTTCTGTTGATTAGGCCTATAGCTCACAGACTGATGTAAGCGAACTTGCAGATTAAAGAACTAGCCTGAGACATGGAGCAACATGTCACTTCACAGCGGCCTCCAAGGCGCAGCTTGAGGCTTGGGGAGCAAGAGAAGCCAAGTGAGCACTAGGACGGCATGGCAACTAGGTGAGGAGCTTGTTCAATCTTTACATCGAACACTGACGCAGCCGCTGGTGTTGTTTTTGCTTTCTTATGCAGCTCTCTAGGTGAATACTCAGCAACAACGAAGCACTCTTGGGGCCAAAGCCCTCAACTGCCAACATGCCCCTCCGGGCCTGGTCTGCAAAGGGATCTGAATGGGTTTTGGGTTTAGGAACGATGGTGGGAAGCGCTCTCCGCGTAGGGAGATGCTCGATTATTGTGTGTGCGTGTGTGTGTGTGTGTGTGTGTGTGTGCTTTGTTTGGGGTGGGGGGGTTAGGGGGGTCTCGCCGAATTTCAATCTCCTGCAGGAGGCCTGACAACTCTTCGGTGAAGTATGAGGCTTCGACCCGAACTTCCTTTCTTCTCCGCGAGGGGGGTCGTTCAAAGCTCGCCCGCGACTCCAGGAAAGGCGAGGGACGCGCGGCCAGCTTCGCTGAGCCGAGGTGTTCAGGGTCTTTCGGCTGTTCTGTTCGAAACCCTAAAGCCGAAACAACTCAGACACTAAGTCACTAAGTTCCTAAAATGCTCTCTTCGTCCCCTCGCGTTTTGCAGGATTCTCGTCCAGCAACAAAGCGCTTGGCCCAAGGAGTCGGCTCCATTTGGAGGCCGACCTTTTGCAGCGTCCTGCAGCCTAAGACACTGGTAGGTCTGGTAGCCCAAGGAACTTACTGGCACAGGGTCTATGAAATCCATTTATACTTTAGGGGGCTATTGTTCTTCTTGGTCGTTGAAGGTCTAGCCTTGAGAGCCAAGGGCATTGCCGCGTAGATCGGCCAAACGCTGATCTGGATCCTACGTTAATTTCTGGCTCGGCAAGTTGGGCCTTTGGGGGTTCAGGGTTCGAGTTCAAGGCTTTTGGGTGCAAGGGCTCAACTGCTACGCAACCCAAGGCGAGACTCGGAACAGCGATCCTCCCAGAAGAATCCACTGAGAGCTGCTCCAGAGGCCGCAAAATTCTCTACGTAATCTCACCATTATCCCTACATTCATCCGTTAACACCCAACTTGCGACCCGTGCGACAAAATTGCGAGAGCCCGGATGTCACACGCAGCCGCGAAAGCCGACGTAAATCTCATGTCGCAGATTGGGTCTCGCATGTACCGCAACAAACTGAACCCCCGAGATCCAAAAAACCCTAGCCACCTGCTGCCTAGCAAAAAGGCAAGGAAACCGACTCTGGCCTGCGCACCTGGCCTAAGAGCCTTCAAGGTGTCCTAGACCCAAGAGTAACCTAGGAACAAAACAATGTGCCCCCTTCTTGGTGGAAAGGCGCTTGTTGCAGGGAACCAAAAACTCAAACAACGAGAATTAAAGGGCCTACTGGGCCTACTCTGGGTCTTCGTGTCTGGCAGATCACTACATCGGCTCCCCGGCTGAGCCCAACACACGGGGGGCGCAAATAAGAGTCATAAACTCGCGTCAGCTCGGCTTCCTGAAAGCGTGGGTTGTTGTGAGCTTAAGGTTTGGGGAGTAGGGGACTTGGGGGGATTATAAGGGGCTTGGGGAGCCGATTCCAGAGTACCTTGCGGGGAAAGAGTAGTTGAAGAGGTTCGGGTTCCACCCAAGTTGCGGAAGATGGTGCTCCTTTGTGCGGGCTTCATGGCTTCAGTTGCGGAGACTGAACCAGACACCAACAACACCCCGTGCACAGCTTTGGCGCCCTCTGCGGCTATAAGGAGTGGATGACAAAACCAATCCAAGAGTTGACGGCCGAGCTGTGGTACCACAAATCTTGGACCCCTTTCAACACATGTTGAAGGTTTTGGGTTTAGGGTCCCGAGCACATGAAGCCGTAAGTTCAGGCGGAGAACTTGGCGAGCGATTGCCGCACGCCCGCCGTGGCTGCGCTGGTCAATGCCACATTAACCTTAAGTGGAGTTTCGGGGCTGAATGCACTGCCTTTGGCAAAAGAAGCTCCAACATCCTTCGAACGGCACAAAAAAAAAACCTTATGGCTAAGAGATACGCACTGAACAGCTGGGACAGGTGAGAATCTTGATCCCAGTCACAATCACGTGCAAGGGTTCGATGCATGTTGGAAACAGCTGCTTCCAAGGGGAAACAGTCTTTGGCCCTCCCTGAAGATCGCCAAGGTGCTCCCTCAGTTGTGAGGACCAGCCTGCAAACAAGGCTCAAGCTGTCTTGGGGTGTACTTGGGTGCTTGGGTGGGGAGTTTTTTCCATACGATAGTATCTCGGCGTAGGGTTGGAGACGCTTGGGCTTTGGGCAGGGGCCTGACGTGTGAGGGCAAGCAGCTATGATTGCGAATAGTGACGTAGCTGGAGGTACTGTGCCACCGTGCTTAGGTTTGCAGATAACATCGCCTGAAGATCCTTTCATGTTCTAGAAAGAGGGTTTACGAGACTAAGGGACCCTCAATACAGGTTTCCAAAGAGTAGGATCCCCTGACAATAAGGACCCTAATAAGGCACCCGCAGGTTAATGGCCCCATAGCTGAAACAGCCACGAAGCAGGGACTCCAAACCCACGCACACCCCTTCAGCCAAAGTCGAGTCGACCTGCTGACGTTGCTTTGAAAACGCCGCTGCATGGGTTCCTGGGCAACTTTTAGAACAGCACTTCAAGCTAAAACATACCGCATCCTAAACCTGCATTCAAACACGAATCTCACTCGTGCGATGTCTTCTTGTACCAGTGCATGAACAGTATCACATGAGGTCGAACATGTGCATATGGGCGGGCCAGACCAGTATGTCACATTAAGTACGTGTGGTTGCGGCCCATATGACTGGCGCCGAGCATCCATGGCACTCCAATCTTGCCAGGCGCAGATCCTCCGTGCTTTTGAACATCCAGAAACTTTGGGGCTTAGGGCTTAAGTAGCTTGAGTTTTCATTCTTCGGGCGCAGGGTTTGATTTTGAGGCGTTAAGATTGGGACAGGCCAGGTTCCACATCGAAGGGCGAAGGGCGCCGCCCTAAGAAGAACAATCTCTCAAACACCTGCCAGAGCCCTGAGCCCCAAGCCCCAAGCCGCGCCCACTGCAGAGCTCCCCACAATTAAACAGAATATCAATATGGAGAATAAGCATCCGTGTCTCAGGGTCTGCATTGGTTTAGGGTTAACCGCCCACAATCTTTGAGCATCAACCACGCAGACCGGTGCACATGTCTTGGGCGTTGCTCCTTGCCCTTGTTTTTTCAATGTCTGTGGCACTTGGCAACTTTGATGCGATCTGCACTGACATTTGTGCGCTGTGCTCTCTGGGCTTCAATCCACCGAGGCCAGAGCATGTCGCGCTCGCCGGCATTGGCAGCATCCAGGCGCGTGCTGAGGGCGTGGAACCTCTCCTCGAACCAAACTAGTGCCGTTGGTCCCATGACAATATTTCGGCCAGGAGCTCTGGGCGCAGATGACTCGAACTAGGGGAGGGGAGAGAGGGGAGGGGAGAGTGGAGGGGAGAGGAGAGGGGAGGGAGAGGGGAGGGAGAGATAGAGAGACAGAGAGACGGAGAGACGGAGAGACGGAGAGACGGAGAGACGGAGAGACGGAGAGACGGAGAGACGGAGAGACGGAGAGACAGAGAGACAGAGCACAAGAAAAAGAGAGAGGGGCAAGTGAGAGAGAGAGAGACAGTGACTAGCAGAGAGACGCCAAGACGGAGACCAACAGAGTGATGGAGAGAGGGGACGGGCGGACAAGAACGACAAGAGCGACTGCCAAAGAGCTACTGAGCACTTCACACTTCTCAGTGGCATAGGCACGTCACACGTCCGAAAGTTTGCAAGCGGCATGCAACACAACGCAATCCATCCATGCTCTTGAGTTCCAAGTATCCAGAGATTGCAAGCTCGCCGCCTGAACCGAGACAGGGTCACGTTCCAAGTGGCTCGAATGGCGAATCGATGCATGTTTAAATGGTTGGAGTTTCGAGGCTTAGCATAGCAAAAGGCGGATCAATGCTGGAGCTGAAGGCATGTCTCTGACACGAGTAGTGTCTGTAGGACGCCGGTTTTGCGGAGTCAATCTGAGGAGGATGCTGGGTCACGGCTGCATGGTCGCCTCCCACGGCCCCGCGACACCCTAAACCCTAAACCCCAAAGCCTAAGTCAACCCCCAATCCGCTCCCCTCCCTCCTCCCCCCCCCCAGGCCAGGGAGACGGTCACCATGGCCAGGTCCGTCTGCCCGAAGGTGGACAGCAGCACCCCCGAGGTGCCGAACAGCAGCACGAAGCCTTTTGAGGGGTTTGAAGGGAGTTTAGGGGGTTTAAGGGGATTTGGGGAGGTTTAAGGGGATTAAGGGGGGCTAGGGTCTTGCCCTGGAACCGCATTTTCAGACCACCCGCAACAGCCGATATCAAATAGCTAAAATCCCTAGGAATGCTCGGAGAGA